ATACTCTCTCTCTCTCTCTCTCTCTCTCTCTCTCTCTCTCTCTCTCTCTCTCTCTCTCTCTCTCTCAGATGTGACGAAAACAAAAACTGCAACGAAAAGAAACAGGATTACACCGCAGAATTGGATACAATATTCTATATCGGATCGAAAGAAAGTTGATGTCAGCCGTTTCCAGTAGGAAATTCGACTCACGTTCGACGAACGATCTTCGAAACTTGCTATGTCCCAATCGTTGTAAACGCGAGTACGCGCGTTCCGTATTTAAAACAAGCCGCACCCAAACATATATTACCCGTGAAACTGAAATTCGAACATCGATGCCTCTAATCCAACCAATTGTTCACCAATTTTAATTGCATAAAACCATTGCGAGAAAACGTAATACGCAATTTCAACATTTTCCATTCTCTCCTCTCTGAGACAATTAAAGATTGTGTATTCACGAAGAATAACTGTGTCATTCTCGACTCATCGTTTCAATATCGGCGTATTCCCCTTTAATTACCTCATAAGAAAAAAAAAAAGAAGAAGAACAGAAAAGCAATTAAACTGGATTTATCGAGTTTTTCTCCAGCGATCTTCTATTTATTTACGAGTTACGAGCGTGCCAGGAGGAGGAACAAAGGACGTTTCGAAGGTAATCGTATCCCGCGGTGAACGACACCGAGGAGCCGACATCAGGAACCAGGATGAAAAGGTCAGGAGAAGAGGAGAGAAAGAAAAAGAAGGTTAACTAGATTTGAGAGACGCGTTGGTAAATCGGCAGGCGTGGCCTAAAACGAGCAAAAGTAATCCGGTATGCAGGAGCGTGCTCCCGGTCGCATCGTGCCACGAACCAACGTTACGAACGAAACTATGCTCGTAGTGGGAGTAGATCCACGGGACGAAACTCGCTATAAAAAGACCCCCTGGCCAATCCGTCCGCACAGTACAATTGTCCATCGCTCGAAACACCTTCGAGATCTTATTAAAAAAAAAAAAAATGTTCGCCATGAAATTCTTGGTAAGTGGTTCGATTCCGTCTCGAAATCTCAATTTCTCTATTTTTCTCTAATTTTCTTCCTCCTTCTCGAAAAAATAGGTTCTGCTCGCCGGGTTGGTCGCCGCGTGCTCGGCCGGCTTGATCCCGGCCGCGGTCCCGGCCGCGGTCCCAGCGGCGTTCGCAGCGGCGCCGGTTCCAGCAGCTTTGACGGTGGGCACCTACGCGACCAGCTACAACGCGCACGCTGTTAACCACGCGGTCGCCGCGCCGTACATCGCCAGCCCTGTAATCGCCCACGCCGCGCCGCTCGCCTATTCCAGCCTTCCCGCGGCGGCTCTGGTTGCAGGCAGACGCTGACGATTCGCGCCACGACTCGAGGACAACCCGCTCGGGGAAACATCCGGTTACGTTCCAACGATGTGATCGACCTTCGCGATAAACCTTGGCAAAAGGTTTCCACCACCATTCCGCCGGGATCATCCGGCCGAATGTCGTTCTTGTCTTGGAACAATGGATTACGTTTCCACGCGATTACGTTTCCCCTTTTATCCTTCTTTCCTTTTTTTTTTTTTCTTGTTACCGTGTCGATGAATTTGAATTTTTCCTTCTTCTTCTTTCCTTCGACTTTGCTTGCGAAACGAGAAAAAAAAAGGAGAAACGAATAAAAAAGATTTCCATGAAAATCCTCGTATTTTATTACTATTTCTTTTATTTGTTGTTATATGTTTCGATCTATGTGTGAGGAAGAGAGAGAGAGGAGGGGGAGGGAGGAGGGGAGGGATAAACGATCGGCGAGAACAAAAGATTCCAAGGCAACCGGGAAACAAACGACAACTCGTTGATTTCGTCGCCGATTTTTTTTCTTGATCGTACGTACGCTCAGGACAAACTCTTTGTTTCAGGCTAATTTCTCGAGTATTGTAGAAAAATATAGTACCGATAGAATAGCAAAGATAGAGGGAAGCGAGGGAAAAGTGTTCGCGAGTGAACGAGATCGTGTCGGGAACAGTGCGTAGAGATCGAGGATCGAAAAAATGCGTGAAATTGCCCATCTCCAGGCTGGCCAATGCGGGAATCAGATAGGAGCAAAGGTATATTTTCGCGTTATATTATAAAATTGTCACAGACTTTATCTCATATCTTTCCATCATCCCTTTCTTTTCCTTCTTTTCCCCTTCTCCACAATTCTCTTCTTGCTTATTTTCCTCCCCTCCACCCCCCCTCCTTTCTTCTTTCTTTCTCGCACAGTTTTGGGAGGTGATATCCGACGAGCACGGTATAGATCCAACCGGCACGTACCACGGTGACTCCGATCTCCAGCTGGAACGCATAAACGTTTATTACAACGAGGCGTCGGGGGGGAAATACGTTCCAAGAGCGATCCTCGTCGACTTGGAGCCGGGCACCATGGACGCGGTACGCTCCGGCCCGTTCGGCCAGATATTTCGGCCGGACAATTTTGTGTTCGGGCAGAGCGGGGCCGGGAACAATTGGGCGAAAGGCCATTACACAGAAGGAGCTGAACTCGTCGACTCGGTTCTCGACGTTGTGCGGAAAGAGGCCGAAAGTTGCGACTGTTTGCAAGGATTTCAATTGACTCATTCTCTCGGCGGTGGAACAGGAGCTGGAATGGGAACGTTGCTTATATCCAAAATTCGCGAGGAATATCCGGATAGAATTATGATGACGTTCAGCGTGGTGCCTTCCCCGAAGGTACGCTGAGTTTTTCTTCTCTCTGTTGATTGATTGATTGATTAATTAATTAATTAGTTAATTAACTTCGCAAATGATTATTTTTTTGCCGTCAGGTATCCGACACGGTGGTCGAACCCTACAACTGCACTCTGTCGGTGCATCAATTGGTTGAAAATACAGACGAGTCTTATTGTATCGATAACGAGGCCCTATACGATATTTGCTTCCGTACGTTAAAGTTAACGACACCGACTTACGGTGATCTGAATCACTTGGTGAGCGCAACGCTTAGCGGAGTGACCACGTGTTTAAGATTTCCTGGACAACTAAACGCCGACTTGCGTAAACTCGCTGTAAATATGGTACCCTTCCCACGATTGCATTTCTTTATCCCAGGTTTCGCACCCTTAACGTCCAGGTGCGGTATCTAATGTTTCTAAATTTAACTTGAAGCGTTATTGTATATATGTATATATATACATATGAAAAAAAAAAAAATCACGAACAAAAATCCGTATCCTGTTCCTTTCGAAACAGAGGTTCGCAACAATACAGAGCTCTAACGGTCCCGGAACTCACGCAACAAATGTTTGACGCGAAAAACATGATGGCGGCGTGCGATCCTCGCCACGGTCGTTACCTGACCGTGGCAGCCGTCTTTCGAGGTAGGATGTCGATGAAGGAGGTGGACGAACAAATGCTCAATATTCAAAATAAGAACAGTAGTTATTTCGTGGAATGGATTCCTAGTAACGTTAAGACTGCCGTGTGCGATATTCCCCCCCGCGGGTTAAAAATGTCGGCAACTTTCATTGGGAATTCAACGGCGATTCAGGTATGATATATATATATAATGTTTCGAATAGTAAATAAAAATTTCGATCGAGCGAAAGAAAAAGAAAGAAAGAAAATATCGTATGTCCCCGTAGGAATTGTTCAAGAGAGTATCGGAACAATTCACGGCGATGTTCAGGCGGAAAGCTTTTCTGCATTGGTACACGGGAGAGGGGATGGATGAAATGGAATTCACCGAGGCTGAGAGCAATATGAACGACTTGGTGTCCGAGTACCAGCAATATCAAGAGGCTACCGCCGAGGAAGAAGGCGAGTTCGACGAAGAAGAAGAGGGTGAGGGCGAACACCCGTAAAAGTTGAATTGTCTTTTAAAAAAGAAAATATATATATAGTATAAATTTCGTTAACTTATGAAAAAGTGCCTGTATCACACGAATTAGTAATTGCGTTTAAAAATAGATTTCTCTCCTTAACACGTTCGAATCTTCCACCTCACCTTTTCAACGACTATCTTAACTCAATCCTGTCCTCTTAAGTCAGCGTTTATTGTAACTTTAAAAAAAGAAACACATCGAAATACGTTTTTTCAATATATTATGTAAAATCGACCACCAATAAGATTTTTTCTTGGCTTAAAATTGTTTTTAATAAAAATCCACCGATTAATCGGCTACTCGCTATATAATAATCGGAACCTCTCGTTTCCATTGATACTCGTTTCATCGGACAGTTTTCTTCTTCTTTCTTATTCGCGTGTTCATCTGTAAACGCGCATGCGCGTCTTTTGCGTGTCTGTCAACTGCCTCGTTCGCAAGATAAACGGTGCATCGTCGAGCGGTGAAAGCACGAAAGTCGAAATCTTCGAACGATCATCGAGCGTGCTGCGAAAAAACGAAACGAAAATACACGGATAAATACACGTATTGTCAACGGTGTATATCGTTATACTCGAGGTACGATTCTTTCCATCGTGCCACCACCATCGTTCTACATTCGATCGGTCGAGGTCCCTCCTCGAGATTACTACATTCGCGGTTGGCGTGCCACGAACAGAGACGGTACACACAACGTTGCAGAAATCTCCTCTCCTTTGCAACGCGCTGCGTTTATCGCCTCTACGCATCTTTTCGCCTCTTTCGTTCGTAATTCCCCATTCTCCCCTCCCTCGTTCCATCGTTACATACAATTCCATCTTTATCCTTTGTCCCTCTGTGCTCTTAACGAACGTAACGCAAATTATATTATTACGTATGTAAAACCGTATCGAATCTAATATATAACCGTAAGTATTTGCATCGAACAGGTGCTAATAAGCAACGGTTACGTGAATGTAAATATAACCAAAGCGGATGAGAATAGACTGCGAATATCGATTACTGGAAATCTGCTTATCGAAGCGAGAAGAATTTGGTTCGTTTGTCGTAGGGCGGTCGCGAAGAGAAGATTTTTCCGTTTGTTAATTCGTATAATTAAAGTAATACGTGTACGTGCGAACGTGATGCAATATGGCGCGATGCGTTTGCTCTATTTTACCGACAAATACCGAGAAAGCATACGCGAGGATCATCGCGTGTACGAATAACGTAGATTTTCTTTTTTTCTTCTCTCTCTCTCTCTCTCTCCTTCTTTTTGAAAATATCGTTCGCGGCCTCTGTAAAATCTCGAGTGATTCGATTCCGAACGACGACGGTCACTTTTATAGCGAAGCATCCCCCTTCCCGAACGACTGACTGGTTAACTTTTGACGAGAGCCTCGAAAATCCTGTCTGGTGGTGCCGTAATCCGAAAGTCTTTGCACGATATCCGACGTGAGGCCAAGGCCTTCCGGATTTGGGCGTTGCCTAGGCTCATGGTTATCGGAGGCGATCTCGCATCGGACTCCTCCGCCGATCTTTCCATTCTCGTAAAAGCTGTAGAGAAACGAGCAAGGACGAAAAAAACGAGAGAAAATGAAAGATAAAGAAAAAAAGAAAAAAAAAACCGTAAGCTCGTGGAGGACGAACTTTGTCGTTGGATGGCGTTCACCACGACGCGAAGAGCGGGGGAGGGGGAGGCATTTACGAAACGCGACCTTGCCGCGAAATACGCGACCAGTCAATATGACAAAAAAAGATTAACGAAACGAGGGAAAGGGAAAGGAGGAAAGATACGAGGTGGACCGATTCCGGAAAGAACACGACCGCCTCGTAAATTATCGGAGCACGCCGTGCAAAGTCAAATTGGATCGCTTCGTTTTCGTAATTCGATTTTTCTTTCTTTCTTTTTTTTTTCTTCTCGTTTCTTTTTCTTTTTCTTTTTTTTTTTTTTTTTTTTTATTTCCGTAAAAATTAATTTTCTTAAATTAACACGTAC